TGGCATAGAAAGTATGCTTATTAAGTTTGCAGATGATACCAAGCTGGGAGGGGTTGCGACTGCTCTGGAGGATAGGGTCATAATTCAAAATGATCTGGACAAATTGGAGAAATGGTCTGAGGTAAACATGATGAAGTTTAATAAAGACAAATGTAAAGTGTTCCACTGAGGAAGGAACAATCAATTTCACACATACAGAATGGGAAGCGACTGTCTAGGAAGGAGTACGGCAGAAAGGGATCTAGGGGTTATAGTGGACCACAAGCTGAATATGAGTCAGCAGTGTGATGCTGTTGCAAAGAAAGCAAACATGATTCTGGGATGCATTAACAGGTGTGTTGTGAGCAAGACACGAGAAGTCCTTCTTCCGCTCTACTCTGCGCTGGTTAGGCCTCAGTTGGAGTATTGTGTTCAGTTCTGGGTACTGCATTTCAAGAAAGATGTGGGGAAATTGGAGAGGGTCCAGAAAAGAGCAACAAGAATGATTAAAGGTCTAGAGAACATGACCTATGAAGGAAGGCTGAAAGAATTGGGTTTGTTTAGTTTAGAAATGAGAAGACTGAGGGGGGACATGATAGCCATTTTCAGGTATCTAAAAGGGTGTCATAAGGAGGAGGGAGAAAACTTGTTCATCTTGGCCTCTGAGGCTAGAACAAGAACCAATGGGCTTAAACTGCAGCAAGGGAGGTTTAGGTTGGACATTAGGAGAAAGATCCTAACTGTCAGGATAGTTAAACACTGGAATAAATTGCCCAGGGAAGTTATGGAATCCCCATCTCTGGAGATATTTAAGAGTAGATTAGATAAATGTCTAATAAGGAATGGTCTAGACAGTATTTGGTCCTGCCACGGGGGCAGGGAACTGGACTTGATGACCTCTCAAGGTCCCTTCCAGTCCTCCTATTCTATGATTCTATGATTCTTTGGTGAGATCTTTTTGAAGCTCTTCATAGTCTGCTTTGGTCTTAACTATCTTGAGTAGTTTGGTATCATCTGCAAATTTGCCACCTCACTGTTTGCTGCTTTCTCTAGATTATTTATAAATAAGTTGAATTGGATTGGTCCCAGTACAGACCCTTGGGAGACCCCACTAGTTACCTCTCTCCACTCTGAAAACTTACCATTTATTCCTACCCTTTGTTTCCTGTCTTTTAATTAGTTATCAATCCATGACAGGATCTTCCCTCTTATCCCATGACAATTTATATATATTTAATAAATAAAAATTCAAAAGTATAAGACATGGAACTAAGTAGATAAATGCCAAAAATACTTGTAAGAAAGATTGTTGTGTCTCTCTTCTCCTCCCTCATATGTTTCTTTGTCTTGTTAGAATGTTAACTCATCAGAACAGGAACTGTGTCATCTAATATGTTTGCATAGTATCTAGCACATTTTAGGGCTACTATGATTATAATAATTAAGAACTATGTTGTAGGCAGTCAAAATTCTACTACATCATGGAGCAAATCCTAATGAGAAGGATAAGCATGGGAAAAATGCTTTGGCTGAAGCCTGCAGTGATGAAATGAGAGAATTGCTTAAGTCTTATGGTGCTACTGACAGTGAAGTTGCTTATGAAACAACTGAGGTTACTGGTATGTTGGCTATTTCATAACGTTAATAACAGAGTTGTATCTTTGTCTCATGGAAACAAACATACGGAAAAATGTTGCAAGTTTGCTTGATTGTTTCCATGCCAGGCACAGGCATTTTCTAGTGATAGTATATCATTGATAGTTATGTATCTACTGCAGGTTGGACCTCCCTGGTCCTGCACCCTTTGGACCTGATTGGTCCCAGATGAGGGATTTTGCCAGACCAGGGGAGGTCATTTCTGGGACAGATATTGCCGGACCAAAGTGTACTGGTTTATAGAGGTGTAACCTGTAGAAGTTTTACCCAGCGTTGTTTGGGTCTTAACTCAATTTAAAAAAAATTAAAATGTGCATGCTTTATTTAAATCATTGCTTTAGGGTGGGGCTGGGAATGAGGGGTTCAGTATACAGGCTGCCAGAAGGAAAGGGGACTACCTCAGTCCTCTCTCACCACAACACCTTAGCGCCAAGTGAGAAGTGCCTCTCCATGGCTGCTGCAGCTCCAGCAAGCACAGCTCAGGCAGGGTGCATGTCCCCTCGCTGGTACAGGTCAGGTTTGTCTGTCTTGTGCTCCCCAGCCAGAGTGAGGAATGCAGAAAACTGTTCACTTTCCCTTCACTCCCTGATGAAGGGGAACAGCCAGCGATGTTCTTGTATGAATCCGGTGGGAGGGGGCGCTAGTCCCCCTCCTGCTCTCCCTAAAGGATACGTGGGAGGTAGAAGGAAGGGCACGTGCCTTGGGACTGAGGCAGTCCTGGATTGCCTTGGGGCTCAGCCAGTCCCTTTCATCTGCCTGGTGATTCTGTCTCTTTCTGTATGGTTTTGTGAGAAGCAATCCCATTCCAAGTATCTCCCATTTTCCTGGAACAACCAAACCCTTACCTTTGTTTAAGAGGAAGCAGTATACAAAGTTTGGTGGTCCTCACTCTTTCTATTTAGGAGGAGTTCTTGAATAAACATATAGATGGATGGACAGACAGACAAACAGACTATTTCAAATATATAGTAGATATCATTAAGACAGTCAAATGTATGTTACAGATTGTTTCCTGGTAAAGTCAGTGCAGCTAAACAAAGATGTATTTGGTCCTTTAATTTTTGTTAGTTTTCTGTATTTCTCCCACACAAAGGGTATGTCTAGACTACAGGCTTCTGTCAACAAAGAGCGTCTAGAATACATCCAATTCTGTCGACAAAGCAAGCCGCTTTGTCGACATGGCAGTGTAGATGCAAAGTACAGTGTAGATGCAATAATGCCTTCTGTCGACAGAGCTCTGTCGACAGAAGGCATTATTGCATCTACACTGTACTTTGCATCTACACTGCCATGTCGACAAAGCGGCTTGCTTTGTCGACAGAATTGGATGTATTCTAGACGCTCTTTGTTGACAGAAGCCTGTAGTCTAGACACACCCAAATCTTGTAGTTGTGCATCCAGAACTGGAATAATGTCTTAGTGGGTCTCTAAAACATAGTATTTAGCTAACTTGATTTTATTTCATTTGCATATACAATGTTGCTTTTATATTATGGTCTGCTTTTGAGTCTTAGGATACATCTACACTGCAAGCTTATTTCAGAAAAAGCTAATCTGGAAGATATCTTCCAGAATAGCTTTTTTCAAAATAGAGTGTCCATGCTACAGGGAAGCCTCAAAATTAGTCCAAGGCAGGGTCCCCTAATGTGGACATGCTATCTTGATTTAGAGCCCCAGGAGAAACTGGGGAGGAATAACTTAGAATGTCCCTGGTGAGGGGCTATTCGAAATAGCAGCAATAGAGCGTCCACACACAGCCTCTTCCAAAATAGCTTTTTCGGAAGAGGTGGTGTTCCTTGTAAAATGAGGTTTACCATCATCAGAAAAAGGCCTCCATTCTTTTGATTTTTTTTTTTTTAAATAATGCAATTGCTATGTGGATGCTTGTATTGTTTTTCCAAAATAACTGCCGTTATTCCAGAATAACAGTGCATTGTAGATGCACCCTTAGTAATTTGAATAATTGGCATCCATTGTATTACATTAGTTTTATACGAATATTACCATAATTATATTAAAATTATATTTATTTTCTTTATTAATTGTGTGTGTATGGTGGGATATAGGCCCTAAAAGGTCAAGAAGACCAACACATACTTGTTATGATTGCTGTAGAAAGGCTGATGTTCCATTGGTTTTGCACCAAGATATGACCAGAGAGAAATGTGGCACAGTAAGTATAAATATTGAGTTTTTTAAATATTGCTTTACAGTGCAGTACATTTCTATTCTGTATATAGCTGTGTTGATTGAATAATGTAACTATACCATGTGTTTAGATAAACTAATGATCCCTAAAATGCATGCCGAGAGCACCAGCACGTTCTGAAGCTGTGTGAACACACTAAAGAAAAGTTCAGTTTGTGCAATCTATCTCCATCTGTTTCTGTTCATGTTCCTGTGCATCTATACTTCCTGTATAATTACCATGCTACTTTCACAAGGTTGGAAAATCCCAGGATCAATGAAGTCTCATATATATCACCTCAACTGGCAGCACTAGAGGTGATGAAAAATGCCTGTCTTTAAACTATTAATACCTAGAGCACTAAGCAGTTCATTGCAGCCACAGTTGCTGCTGAAAACACTCATATTGTACTGCAGAAATAAAACAAAAATTCTGGACCATATGGTTACACAGGAAACTTTGAAACCATTAACCAAATGTAAATTGATGCAGTGTTTTGCTCCCAAATCTGCAAATAGCCTGAAAAATGGCTTTGAATATCAACATTAATTATTTCACTGCTGATCATTTTAACAGAAGCTCTCAGCTAATGTGCTTATCTCAACTGCCTCTCACTTTTCCACAAATGCCAGAAAACCCAGGTGCCTCATCCCAGCTGTCAAAATCTTCAGCTTACCCCGACAGCTTTTGTGATGCAGTTAGGCTTGTCAGTACAAAAATCTTCAACATAACAAAAGTGTAAAACATGAGAAAAGATTGCATAGATTGAATTTAATATAATAAAGCACATGGGCTGCTGTAGTGGTTACATACTAGTTTGTTTTCATACTTAATTATGACTCTCTGTTTTCTCTTTAAATGAATCAACTGTGACAGTGTGCTGTGGAAGCCAAGAATATTGCCACAGAATTTAGGTTCATTATACAGTACCTCGTATTTACCTTTGTAACAATAAAATTAACTATGTTTGTATTTGATAGCATGAGTCCATTATTGCTACATTACAAGATATAGAAAAGAAGCAGGAAAAACTGTTGCTGTTTGAATTAAGAAACACAAAAGATGAAGGTAGATGTGAATTTAAGTTCAATTTTAATCACCGCTCTATAATATGCTATCATTACTCTAATATATTGCAAAGTAATAGTATCTTCTTCCGGAAAATACAATTTGAGAAAATGGTTCTAGGTACTTACTATTCAAGACTTTTAAAGTAGGGGTTCTCGACTTTTAGTATATGTACCTTTCAGGGTGTTTCAGTTATTATCTGGGATATGCCAGATGATAAAAACAAGCCATTTTGTAGAAATGAAAATATTACCTTTTCAGTTTGAACAAATCAGTTTAGGCATAAAAACATGAGTATCTGAGTAAAATCAGCAAGCAATAGTCACAAAGAGCTCAGTAACTCAAGTTCAATACTATTGATAAGGATCTCTTATTCATGATTGGACATAGTTATTTTGGAGCCTCGCCATACCTACGAACTATGCATGTATATGCACAAATAAATACAGCATTTTCATTCCAGTGCAATTATAGAGAACCCCAAAATTGTCAAAAAATAAAAAATGTGTTAGGCAAAATGATAGGGCAGATTCATAAGTGCTGGCACTGGGAGGTGTAAATTACCTTTGCCCCCTGGTTCCAAAAACAGCTTAATCTCAAAAGAGGATATCTAATGGTACAGACCTCCTGCCATCTCAGAATTTTTGCTGGCACAAATCAGCTTCAGTTTATTGCTGCAGATTCATAAGAGACATGCTGGCAGACATGGCTGAGGGAATTTACTTAATAAGTGCATCTTCTGGCTTCACTCAACATTTTGCCTTCCCAGCTAGTGCTGTCCATTTTCTGGCAGATCTGCCCATTTGTGATCATTCTCTGTTTCCCTAAAGAAGGAAGTTATATCTGTTGTTCATCATTGAACCCATTCCTAATGTAATTTCCATTGTTGGGGCCCAGTATTTACGTTTGCACTAGCAGAAGCCAGCATAAACTCAAGCTGAATATAGACTCGTGTCTTTTAAACTAAAATTGAGTTCCCGCATAGGTCAACAGATACCTATTAAAAGAAACATGAGCTAGAGAAAAAGTTGTTCCTGTTTATGGAAAAAGGGAATGAAAAATATGTAGGTGATGGTATCTAAAAGCTTTTCAAGTATATTTACAGTCAATTGCTTAGCAGTGGTGGACTAGTCAATCCAACCCATGGGGTGTACAGCTAACTAACTAGATAAAAGTTGAGAGCTGCTGCTCAAAATGATTACATTTCCTTGTGTTTGAATAACCAGACAAGCTCCTTATATGACTGAAACAGAAATCCACCCAGTTTCATATAATGGAAATAAAGAGTATTAGACCTTCTCTGGCTAAGGTCACAAGAAAAATTGTCCTGATGTTCTTTATTTAAGTCCCTTGTGGCAAAACTAAATAATTTGGTGCCATTTAACATAAAAAATAGTAGTCACTCAGGAAGAAGCATAAGAATGATCAGCAATATAAAGTTGCATTGGATTTATGAAGATAAATTAGCAATACTATTACATTCATTATACCCAGCTCTTAAAAATACTGTGATCTGCCACTTTAATAAACACGGTATGTTCATACTTCACTTATTTTAGTAAATAATACATACATATAAATAAATACAGTAATATGGAGAGAATCAGCTTCCTGGAAACATTCAATGAGTTGGTTTTTTTTTTTCATCCTGTAAATGTTCCCTTTTCAGGTGTAATGGTTGATAAAAACAAAAAAGTGTATTTCCTGGTAACTTAGGGGTTTGATTTTATTTGGTTATCAGATCATCGCAGTGGCCTCAATGGGAACATGTTAGTGTGATGCTTCCTGGGGATGCCCAGGGTTGTGAGGCACCTTGGTGCCACCTGCTCTTAGTGGGAATGAGCCTTCATGGGTCAGCTCCATGAATGCCCTGTCAATAGGCATTCTTCTTCGAGCAGTATCCCTGTGGGTGTACTCCACCTTAGGAGTGCTGCAGCATGCCTGGCCAGAAGCTTTTACTAGCAGTGGCTTTGACAGCTAGCTCGCACATGCGCAGAAGCGCTACACGCGCTAGGCAGCTAATGCGCATGTGTGAGATACGGTCACCTCAGTTCCTTCTCTGCCGCCGGCGGCATCGGTTGGAACCCACAGTGCACTTGCAGATTTCTCCTCAGAGAGACAGCTAGTCTTCTCCTTTACTTAGTTAGCCTTTTCATTATATTTTTATTATATTTTTACTATCCTTCAAAAAAAACAAAGACCAAGTGTCTCCCTCAAACACGGAGACTGGCGCGGGCTCCACGCCCTGTGCTTCCCCTTTCTTGCACCGAGGAGTTTCTTTTCTCTCAGCTTCAGCTCTAGCCTCCTCACATAAAGCTGAGAGATTTTTTTTTTCACAGATTTAAAAAAAAATTTCCTAATCTTTTTCACAGCATTCTCCCAAGCAGGGGCTCTGCTTTAAATGCTGTTTTCTCCTCACGGGCTGTCAGTCACACTGCCAGGCTAGCACTCTCAGGCTATGTCCACACTACGGTTTTCTGCTGCAAGAGGCAATGCAAATGAAGTGCTGATTAGCATATTGTTATGCTTCATTTGCATAATCTCTATCTCCTCCCAAAACCCAACCACCCACTCAGTCCCTCTTCAGGGACCCATCTCACGAGACTATTCTACATCAAGAGATTGACCACTTGCTCCATATAAATGCAGTGGAAAGAGTTCCACAACAATATCAAAACACCAGCTTCTACTCCCAATATTTTCTCACGGAGAAGAAGTCAGGGCACTGGAGACCCATTCTCAGTCTGAGCTCTCAACAGATACATCCTGTTCCAACGCTTCAAGATGGTTCCCTCTCCACCATCATACCCTCCCTCAACAAAGATGACTGACTGGTGACTCTTGACCTCCAAGACGCGTACTTCCATGTGCCCATACACCCTGTGCACAGGAGGTACCCAAGATTTACTGCAGGGAGACATTTCCAGTATACAGTATTTCACCTATCCATGGCACCAAGGGTTTTTTCCAAGATCTTTGGCAGTTGTGATGGCCCACCTGCAAAGACAGGGAGTGTCAATTTATCCATATCTTGACGATTGCTTTATAAGGAACAAGTCATTCCAGGAAACTCAGGACTCAGTCACGACCATCATGTTGCTCCTCTGTTCACTTGGCCTTCAAATCAACCTCTCCAAATGCCAGTTCCAACTAACCCAAGTACTAGAATTTATAGGAGCTCAATTCGATTGCATCCATGTTATCGCATCCTTATCCCATCAGAGGTTCCTTGCAATATTACAACTAGTACAGCTTCACACCATGGCTTCACAACTTCCTGCCAGGGCATGTCTCCAGCTACTAGGCCATATGGCAGCAGCGACAACAGTTGTCCTGCATGCCAGATTACACATGAGGTCTCTACAACACTGGCTGAGCACAGTAAAGTGATGTTGGGTAAATAGCCTACACAAGCTGGTCTCACTTTCAAACATGGTCCAACACTCCCTCCAGTGGTGGTCAGAAGCACAAAATGTGTGCTGGGGTCCCCTTCCACAGGGAAGCCCCATAGTTCACCATTACCACAGATGCATCGCAACAAGGCTGGGGAGCTCACCAGGGTACCCTCACCACACAAACACAGTAGACCCACATGCAGGCCACAATGCACATCAATGTGTTCGAGCTTTGGGCAGCATAATATGCCTGCCAGCATTTTGTGAACCATATTTCCAACTTCACAGTGCAGATCTTTACGGACAACCAACCTGCAATGTTCTATATAAAGAGGCATGGAGGGGCAAGGTCCTACCCCCTCTGCAGAGAGGCAGTCTGTTTATGGACTTGGTGCATCACTCACAACATAATATAAATTGCCTCACATTTCCCTGGCAAAGACAATATAACCACAGAGGGTACATCTACACTAGCCCCCTAGATTGATCTAGGGAGGCTAATGAGGGCGACCAGAATTGCAAATCAAGCCCGGGATTTAAATATCCCGCGCTTGATTTGCATGTTCCCGGCCGGTCGCCATTTTAGAAATTGACTAGCCCAAAGTAACTGCCGGCGTCTACACACGGCAGTGAAATGGGATTCCGGAATAAAGCCCTAAATTGAATTAGGTGGTAAACCTCATTCCACGAGGAATACCACCTAATTCAATTTAGGGCTTTATTCCGGAATTCCGTTTCACTGCCGTGTGTAGACGCGAGCAGTTACTTTGGGCTAGTCAATTTCTAAAATGGCGACCGGCCGGGAACATGCAAATCAAGCGCGGGATATTTAAATCCCGGGCTTGATTTGCAATTCTGGTCGCCCTCATTAGCCTCCCTAGATCAATCTAGGGGGCTAGTGTAGATGTACCCTCTGTGGTTATATTGTCTTTGCCAGGGAAATGTGAGGCAATTTATATTATGTTGTGAGTGATGCACCAAGTCCATAAACAGACTGCCTCTCTGCAGAGGGGGTAGGACCTTGCCCCTCCATGCCTCTTTATAATGGGCTATTGTAGACGTACCCAGACAGACTCCGCAGGAATTCTTCTGTGAGTCACGAAGGGGAACTAGACCCCTCATTCTGCATCAAATCTTTACACAATGGGGCTTCCTGCAGATCAACTTGATGGCCACCAGTGCCAATAAAAAGTGTCCATGCTACTGTTTATGTGTGAGCATTGAAACACAATCCCTAAGGGATGCATTCACGTTACACTGCAGGACAGCCCTACTATATGCTTTCCCCTCCATACCGCTTCTCCATCAAGTAGTCACCAAGGTATGCTTAGACAATGCCAACGTCATACTGATAGCTCCAGACTGGCCGAGACAAACCTGGTATACGTATCTACCGCAAATGTCAGCCAACCACTCACGGCTCCCACATCTCCCACGGCTCCCACATCTCCTCACCCAATGTCGCAGTCGCCTTCAGCATCCTCATCTCCACACCCTGAACCTTCAGGCCTGGCTCCTCAATGGCTCACTTCACTAGAAGCAGAATGTACAGATGAAGTCCCAACATATCCTCCTTAGCAGTCGGAGAACATTCACTCGCAAAACTTACCTGTTCAAGTGGTGTCGATTCTTCACATGGCCTCACCTCCACAATCTTGACCCATCTTCCACTCAATTATCCGTGGTCCTGCAATACATAACCGAACTCAAAAACTCGGGGCTTATCTACCAATCAAACCTCTGGCTCCAGCCTGGGACCTCAGTTTGGTTCTGAGGGGCTTAACTCGTAAACCGTTTGAGCCTATGCCGACCAGCTCCAGGCTCCGCCTCTCCATGAAGGTGGCCTTACTAGTGGCAATCACATCTGTCAGGAGAGTCAGTGAAATTGCGGCTCTGATGGCAGACTCTCCTTTCACCACCTTCCATAAGGACAAGGTAGTCCCCCAGCCTCACCTTAAGTTCCTGCCGAAGGTGCCCTCTTCTTTTCACTGTAACAAACCCTATTAACTTACCAGTCTTTTTTCCCAAACCCCATGCCAACCAGACAGAGGCCATACTCCACACAATTGATTTATGGAGGGCAGTGCCATCTCGAGCCATTCTTGCTCCCCGGGCAACGGGCGCACGGCACATGCGCGGCTCCTCCCGCCAAAGCGTGCGGCTCCCCTTACAGCTGTAATCAGGTGCCACGCGGCCCCCGCCCCCGGGCTGTAACGGGTTCCATGCACGGCAGGGGTGGGGGCTGCGCAGCGCCTGATTGCAGCTGTAAGGGGTGCCGCGCGCCTGGGGGCGGGGGCCGCGCAGCACCCCTTACAGCTGCAATCAAGCACCCCCCATAGGTTGGCACCCCGGGCAGCTGCCTGGTTAGCCCCCCCCTTAATCCGGCCCTGACGGAGGGCCATTGTGTTCTACCTGGAAAGAACCAAGCAAATTCAGAAAACCAACAGGTTATTCGTATTAAACACCGAGCAATCCCAGGGACACCCCATCTCATCCCAGAGGATCTCAAAATGGATAGTGGATTGAATATGCTATTCTTACGCATTCTTTGGTAAAGAACCACCTGCAGAACCAGGGCAGCATCAGCAGCCTATGTACAGGGTATCTCTCTGTCCGATATATGCAAATCGGCCATCTGGTTCTCTACTCATACATTCGCTGCTCACTATGCTCTGGACTCCTACATGTTCAGAGAAACTGTGTTTGGACATACAATCCTTACCATGGTCCAAAAGGACACGACACTGTCCAAAGCTCTCACCTCCAGTGGATAAACTGCTTGTAGTCACCTAAGGTGGAGCACCCACAGGGATACTCCTCGAAGAGGGATACTCACCCTCTGCAGTAACTCGATGTTTTTCGAGATGGGTGTCCCAGTGGGTGCTCCACCACCCACCCTTCCTCCCCTTTGTTTCGGTATTATTTCCATACTTTTCCGGGGCAGAGAAGAAACTGAGGTGACTGTACCTTGCGCATGCTCTTTAGCCGCCTAGCACGTGTAGCGCTTCTGCACATGTGCAAGCTAGCTGTCAAAGCCACTGCTGGTAAAATCTTCCAGCCAGGTGTGCTGTAGCACCAAAACACCTAAGGTGGAGCACCCACAGGGACACCCATCTCGAAGAATGTCAGTTACTGCAGAAGGTGAGTAACCCTCACATACAAACAATGCCCTCCAGGCCCCCTCAGAACACGTTTCCTTTACATGTTACTAATGGGATATTTTAATCTTATGGGTGTCCCACTGCAATGCTTAGCCCCTGATCATTGAACACTCACAGAATTACCAGACCTGCTCCCAAAGGAACAGAACACAGCAGCTTACCAGTTACATTATACTTAATAGACAGTTCTCATATTTGTCTTTAGTGATTCTAAGTATATGTTTATTTAACCAAGAACCGAGATTCAAATGATAGCAAGCAGAAATAATGGAAACAAGGATGGAATATAAGATAAAATCATAACACATGTACTAGACCCTAAACTTAATTAACAAAACACTGTCTTATTTAATTAAGTTTAACTCTAATGTATTTCCAGTATTTTTAGCCACGTCTGGCTGTAATTTTTTTTCACTAAGCAAGCATATAGTTAAACAGCCTACTTCTTCAATGAAGGACCACCGGTGTCTCCTTGTATTTTCCTTATATAGCAGACTGATTTTTTATCTTAGTCATAAACCAAAAACCCTCATGTTGTTTGTACATTTTTGTAGATTTTGTGATCACCTTTTGAGTTTTCATTCTTGATTAGCTGTTGATTTTGCATGCAAATAAACTTCTGCTGTAAGATACACCTTAGCTACCCTCAGAGACATTCTGGTGACCTGTCTTATGTACCGTACGAACACAATTTTCAGTATATGTACATAATTCCTCACATACTATGCATTTTGCAACATCTGTGATGGGGAGTGTGACAAAGGCTTTCAGTAGAGACCTTACTTGACACTTTTGGGCAAACTACTATGTGGCTATCAGATTTAGGGGGATCCCTGTAAACCTTTTTCATGCCTGTGTCCTCTGCCATTTGGCATATAGAGATTCCTGAGTCAAAGTTGGTAACTGCACTTGTGATGGTGTTGAATCTTTGCCAGTTGAGACCTCGCATTTTTCTATTGTATTGTCAGCCAAAAAAAGGGCATCTAATATGAGCATTTAAAAATTATTCCTTCTTTTGTTTCAGAAAGAAATACAGGCAGTCCCCGGGTTACGTACAAGATAGGGACTGTAGGTTTGTTCTTAAGTTGAATTTGTATGTAAGTTGGAACTGGTACATATTGTAGGGGAAACTCTAGCCAAACATTTCTCCAGAGCTCAGTTTTATTCTCCCACACCTCACTTCCCTCAGTCCTTTATTCTCAAGATGAGGTGTCTGCTGAGAAAAAGAAAAGCCACTCCGCGTCTCCCTGGTCTGCTGGCGGGGGCGCTAGCTTCGCGTCTCCCTGGTCGTCTGGAGGGAAGCAGCTAGTGCGGGGTTTCCTCACCCCGTTTGTAAGTAGGGATCCGATGTAAGTCGGATCCATGTAACCCGGGGACTGCCTGTATAGCTAGCAAACTTAGTTTCTAATCTCTTTTTCTTTTACAGTCTTTTTCTCTGGTGTATGTTTTGATACAGTATGTAGATCCTTCCATGGATATAAAATGTATATCTATGGCTGTGGATAGCCACAGATATAAATTGGATAGCCGCAGAGCTCTGTTGGGAACTTCAGTGGCAAAAGCAGCAGCACGTCGGGCCACCACTCTCCAGTGTGTCTGTATTGCTCCCTAGCCATGCCTCCTGGGCAGGCACCAAGTTCATTGACAGCTGTCCCTGGTCATGATAGTGTGTGCAAATGGCGCACATGCCTTCAGCCAGGAGATGCAGACCCCTGCAGGGATGGGTCTCCTATCTGGGAGTATGTGAGCTACTTGTTCACACTAGTGCAACTAGGGACAGCTGCTGGTGAGCCTGGTGCCCATCCCAGAAGTTGGGGCTGGGAGCTGTACAGCCATGCCAGAGTAGCTGCCCATGCGGGGCACTAGCCCAACATGCTGCTGCTTTTGCAGCTCCCAGTAGAGCCCTGAAGCTCTGCAACTGCAGATACCCAATTTATATCCATAGGGATACCTGTATCTGCAGATATAAATGTTGTGAAACTATTGTGCATTGTTTCAGATATCATATTTGACTTGGAGAAATAAAATCCTGTCTATTCTCTAATACATAAAATATTCAATGTATCAAATTCTTGCTTCTGTAATTTTAATGGACCCCATCCTCAGCTGGTGTAAGTCAGCATAACTGTTGATTTCAAAGGACTTCAAAAAGATTTCATTGCCCATCAACTTTAACCTACACAATTTCTTTAATTACTGTCTGGGTGCGGGTGTACTGTATTTCCCAACTTTCCAAAAACTGAGCTAGCTAAACAGAACTTTCTGTGGAGAATTTCATCCTGAGTGCTTATAAATCAGTGACTCATAATGTTCATGACAGTATCACTTAGAGTAGACATAACAATATTTTCATTCTCCAGCTTTGTTTTTGTTGCTTCAACAATTATAATTATTGTACTTCTCCCTCTCACTTCAATAATAATTTTGATTATGTTAAAATGCTAAACAGGACTGTATATTCATGGCTTGTCGCAGATACAAGACACTTTGAATGAAGTGCTTGCCAAACAGAAAGCAGAAAGGGATGTCCTAGCTAAAAAATACAGGTAAGTGGAATGTAAAGCATGGTATTTTGGAATATTTATTTTATAAAAGCAATACTGATGGATCTTGTTAGAAGGCCAGCAAGCAACATAAAGGTAAAACTGTGTGGTCCTAACTAGGGATGAAAGTGACTAGTTGCTTTCCCTTCACCTTGCTGCCTCTATCAGAGGCAGTAGTTGGGGAACAGGAGCCAGTGTGGGGGGAGCTGGCTTAAAAGCCGGTTCCCCCTGGCACCATCTCCGCAGGAGGCAATGGGATAGTGGGGACCGAGCGTGAGCCAGAAATCATCTGATTCCTGGCTCATGCCCCGTCCCAGATGCTGCACCTCTGCTTTTTAAATGTATTAAGAGCCGAGATTTAAAAGGCTGGTACACAAATGCGGGAAGGGGGGTGGGGAAGAAGGCTGTGTGAGCTGGGAATCCCTCCTGCTGCATTTTAGCCTTTTAAATGTATTAAGAACCAACAGTCTCTTAATACATTTAAAAGGCAGAGCTGCAGTGGCTCCCCCGCTTATTGACTAATTGACTAGTCCATGGAAAATCCATCAACTAGTCAATTAGTTGATTAAAAATTTAACATCCCTAGTCCTAATTCAGTTTTTTATTAATAACTTTCATTGGAATCAGTGGTTTTTGTGCCTGAGAATTAAATAAATAAAAGCTTAAATAAAAAGGCAGATACAAGGTGAGAAAAAAGGATATGACGGAAGATCAGAAATTGATGAACAGGGATATTAGACTAATTACCCAAGGTCACAGGGGAAATCTGTGTCATGGCTTGTTTCCACTACTGGGTGGATTGACACTGCGGCGATAGATCCATCAGTGGTCAATTTAGCAAATCTAGTGAAAATTCACTAAATCAGTTGCCAAATGCACACCCATTGATTCCAGTACTCCATCAGAATGAGACGCATAAGGTATGTTGACAGGACAGTTTCTCCTGTTGACCCAGTGCAGTGTAAACACTGCAGGTAGTCAACCCAAAGTATGTCAACTCTAGCTATGCTATTCACTTTAGGTCAACTTTAGCCTATATTGTAGACATGCCCTCAGTGTCAGGGATTGTACCTAGTTCTCCCGACTCTAATAGAAATAATCAAATGGAAGGGCAAAGCTGGTATGCAATTAATTACATTCCCAACACCTCAAAACATTTTTCAGTTTAGTGCTAAAGAACAGTGGCTCTCAACCTTTCCTGTCTGTTGGCTCATGGCTGCAGACTCTGACTCTAACTGCTGGGTTTGGGCATCCATTTACAGTCGTGACAACTTGTTTGGACCACAATAGCAATAAGACTGAGTCTAGTGCAAGAAGGACAGACCTAGAAGCACAACTATAACCACTAGAAGCATCAGATTCTCCCAGATTCAGGCAGAGGCAAGGCGTAGTGGCCTCCTGTGCAGTGTACTTCTGTTGTCTTACAGTGGATGCAGAGTAGAACAAAGCAGCACAGCTTGTGCGTAGAAATATAAGATGGACTGGGACACACAGAGATGGATGTCATCCACATGGATAATTGGCTGTGGGAATGAAGGGAGAAGAAAAGAGGTTCTCTGCAGCCCCACTGCCCAGCTACAGTGATGTCTGCTTATTTGTCATCTGCTGAATTCATGCAAGCAGATCTAGCTCATCAGCAACTCACATCTGACAAAGCAGACTGGCACCTTCAATGCCACCTGTGCTTCTGCTGTGGTGAGCTTGGTCACACTGTCTCAGCCTGCCCAGTACATACTCCAAAAAGCATAGGGATACTAGCTATCCCAGGTATAGTGCAGAGGAAATGGCAAGGACCTTGAAAGGAGAGAACTTCCCTATAACCTGTTTCTTTTTGAGAGACACCCTAACAATTTGTAGATGCTATTCACCTGCATATCCTAGGGGATCCCCCAATGGATTCTCCTGCAACAGGCCTCATTGATTTTGGAGCAATGGACAATTTTAGAGATGCAAATATAGCTCAGGCCCTACAGCCCTCTTTCCCCCCACGCTTGTTATGAAAGGCCATATCCAACACAATTGAATCTATTGATAATTCCCCACTGTCTTCAGGTCCAGTAGTGGATGAGACTGTCTTCCTGGATGTTTTTTTGCAAGAACATAGAAATAGTACAGTTTAGTGTAATCCATTCCTCGTTCCCCCCTAATCCTTGGTATCTTCTGGTCTACCTGACATGATCCACTTGCTTGCTGTCAATAGAAGAAGGTCACTTCCCTTTCGAATTCTTTCGACAACATGGCAGATACTAGTGAACCTTTCATACAGACCAAAGGAGGCTCATGTAGTATATTCAGGAGGGGAACTATGGCACTTACTCTCCCTACTATGTTGACATCTTTGAGAAGAATGCAAAAAAATTCTCCCCCACATCATGACCTCAACTTCCCCATAAAACTGAAGCTAAGGGAAAAAATATTATTTGGATGCACACATGTAATGTAGAAGTCAGAATTGGTGGTGATGAAAGAATAACTTTAAGAAAACCTGTCTTGAAGGTTCATCTGCAAGTTTACTTCACCAGCAAGTGCCTTTTTGTTAAAAAATAAGGTCAGTCTCAGTCTCTGCACTAAACTTGAGAAGTGTGCATTCAGTCAGAACTCACCTGAGTTCCTGGTTTTGTATGCCTCCAGAAGTCATCAAGATGAATCAACTTAGGGTCCAGGCTATTTGCCATTTGGAAATTCCCTGCAGTGTGCGTAACATACACTGTTTTTTAGATTTCTCCCATTTCTACTAGCAGTTCATATTCAATTTTTCAAAGGAAGGCATGCCCCTCACTGCTCTACTCTGGAAAAATGCCCAGCCCACATTTGAGCAGTTGAAACTTGCCTTTACTACCACTTCAACATACATACTGACTTTGTGGATGCTCAGTAGCTCAAGCAAAGCTTGAAAGAAAAATTAGGGGGTGTGGTGCTCAGCACCCAGAGGGCTAGCCAGGACAGATGCTCTAGTGGCCCTGGGGCTGTCCTGCCTGACAGCTGTTGAGGTGAAATAGGGGTGAGACCCACAGGCACAGTGTGGGAATAGGGCTTCTGGGTAGGGAGCACAGTCAGTGCAGGCCACCCACTGGTAAAACCAAAAGTCAGCAGTGTCAGCACCTATGCATAGAGCACATCCACATTTAAATCCGCAAAAATGAGCCATGGATATCCACATCCACATCTGCGGCAGTGTTCCCGGTAAGCTGAGTGCTTGGGTGGCAGCCTGGGAGAGATTCAGGTGCTGCCCAACTGATTAGGCGAGTGCCCACAGCTGCCCAAAGCTGATAGCATGTGTTTTTATTGGGGGTGCACATTCACACTTTCCTTGGTATACATAACAAAATTTATTCTGCCTATGGATGGAAAAATTAGAGGGAACACTAATCTGTGGATGCAGATATCTATGGATATAAATGGATAGCCATAGATTTGCAGGGTTCTACCTATGCATTCCAATAGTGGCCCATCCAAACATGATGCAGGCTTGTATTGTGGAAGCTGATTTGGGCAGTCCTCTTCCCAGAGGCATGGATTGAAGCAAATACAGCACCTCATCATGTATTACTCAAGAAAACTCACCCATGCTGAGTGAAACTAGGATATTTAGGGTAAGGAGTTCCTTACAATTAAGACCACTTTCAAAGAGTGGTAACATTATTTGGAAGAGCTCACCAACTGGTCCAAGTACTTACCAATTATAAGAATTTGGACTCCTTGCATAGGACCAAGCCTGTAAATCAGGGATCACTCCAGTGTGTCATATTCTCCTGGTTCAACTTTGCCTGGAAATCAGAAATGGTAAGGCAGACACGTTGTCCCAAAGATATGGCTCCGACATACAAAACTCCAGTTCAGAACCAGCCCGTATTCACAAGTCCGATAATTTTTTTAGTCAAATGTGCTGCCAGAACCTCCTCAGCCACTTTCCCTCTGTTTCCAAAATTCAACCTAGCTAGATGGCCATTGTAAACCAAATACTACAAGATACCCAGGAGAGGATCATGTTCAGAAGGGACTGTATGTATGTTCTCTCAGGACCTGTGAAAAGGGTAGATCTTCAAATGGGAGATGACTACACTCTGTTAGGACACTTATGGCAATATAAAACTCTCCAATTTATTGCCCTATCTCTTTTGATGGCCCCACATGCACTCCATGATAGCGACTTTTGTATCTTCCTGCACCAAGATCCCACACCAGAGAACCTGTAGTCTTCTCCAACCTGGACACAGCATCTTAGCTATGGGAGGCCATTTCCTTGGATTTTATGATGGGATTACCAGAATCCAAACAAATTTTTAGCCCGTTTGTTCGGTATTTTTTGGGAGACCATCTGGCAACCCTAACAGGCAGAGTTTAGGCAAGCAGCTCCAGCCAGCTTCACAGGAGTGGGAGGGAATGACCTCAGGCCAACTCTGCATGGTATCCCATTTCCCTAGTCTAGAGGGATAACCCAGAAAGATTTATGTATCCTCTGTGCATTGGCCTCTGGTGATACAAGGATAGAAGATTGGCCAGTGACTGATTCAGTTTCTCAGTTCCTCTGCTACAGATGCAAAGTAAATCAAGACTATTACAGGAATTTCAATGGTTCCAATTTTGCCTCCAGGGTGACCTCCTCAGGGTTTCCCTGCATATACTGCTTATTATGCATAAGGATTAGGATTTGAACCATAAATTTTACAAACAATAAAAAGGTTATTCAATGTTTGGGCATTGGCAGAGTCTTTTTTTAAAGTATATATATATATATATATATATATATATATATATTACTTCTTTGTATTTTGTATTCTGAATTAATCTTTTGCTTGTTTTTATTTCCAATAGGGCTTCAGTGGAATCTTTTAAACAAGGACCATTGAGGGAACAACTAGTTAAACTTGCCTCTAGGCAAAAGAGTCTTTTGATTGTGGCACAAAACCAGAAAGAACTAGGCCATAAAATAAGAAACTATAGGAATGCAAAGCAATGCAATCTTTATAGGCAAAGAAACAAAATGAAATCTTTATGGGCAAAGAAACAAATCTCAAACTCAGGTATTTCTTATGAAAGGGATGACAGAGATGATCTGACTGTTGATAAAAGAGTGCATCATGATGTAGTTACAGTAAACATGGAACCTTATGCCAAATTGACTAATGGAAACCCTGTAGAAGGCACATTTTCAGATCAGGAATACAGCCAACATCCAAACAGCTGCTTGGATGAGACAGGAGCAAATGAAGAGACAAGTACAAGCAAAGAGGTTTCTTCCCATGCTTTGACATATGAAAACAGGGTTAGAGAATATATTTTTGATAATATGTCAGGACCTATAGATACTACAGAAATGATAATGTCGTCTTCAGAACCTATTATTTGCACTACTCAAACAAAGTGTTCACAGCAAGAACAAAATAATTATATAGCAATTCCAGTACAAGTAAGCAAGTCACCAAATCCCACTCCAGTAACCAGCTCATTAAATATTTCAGAAGCTGAAAGCTTTGTTATCACTAATAATACCCATCAGTCAACCGCTGATTGTCAGCAGGTTCCTACTGGTAAAACTCTGCAAAGATATGGACATAGAAATGAAGCTTCCCAGAAGCAAGCAATAGTAGTGTCAGAATCTGCAGAAATCGCTCCTTTTACTCTTCAGCAAAATATCTTCCAAAATAATAGGATTTCACATAATGCTACAGGTCTGGTGTCATGTATACCTTATCCAGTAAACATCAGTCAAAATTCTTCTTCCCAGTATTCCAATAATCAGGATAGTGAACAACTGCAATTGAACTGCAGAGGAAATCGAAGGAGAAAAAATCGACTGAAAGATCTGCTTCAACTAGGAAAGATTAAGCCAGGAGAAAATGTTCTAGAATTCAAACTGCAGGTAACTGATTTATTGCCAAACTAATGTAATTATTAGAAAAAATGAAAAGAAATAAACCACATTTGAGAAATCCTAGGACTGGAAGGAACCTCAAGAGGTCATCTAGGCTAGTCCCCTGCACTCTAGGCAGGATTAAGTATTATATTGACCAGGAGTCTGCAACCTCTGGCTCATGAGCCAAATATGGCTCACTTAGGAGCCAAATATGGCTCATAGCTCAAGTTCAGCCCTCTCTCAATTCCTTCTCCCCGCAATGGGGAGCCCATGCTGGCAATCCAGTCTCACGTCCCCTGCAAGATTGGAGCCAGTGCTGGCTTCCTGCGGTGGGGAGGGGTGAAGAAAGCCCCGAACCTCATTGTGCGATTGGGAAAGAAGCAGAGCCACAAATGGCTCCGCGAGCACTCACCCTCCCCTCTCCCCTTCCTTCAGCTGAGGGAACAGCAGCTCACCGGTGTGCTGCCTGGAGGCTTTTTCCGCTGCTCCACTGGTCAGAATCTGGCCAATGGAACAGTGAGAAGCCATGCCTGAGATAGGGAGCCTGAGAGCAGCTCAAGGCTCAAAAGCAAGTAAGTGCTGCCCAGACCCTGCACCCCAACCTGCTCCTGCCCCCTCCTCCTTGGCAAGACACCCACACACTGCTCCTGCACTCTCCTGCTGGCCAGACACCTTATCCAAAGCCCGCTCCTGCCCCCTATCCATTGGTTAGACCCTACCCCCAGCCTTCTCCTTTCCCTTGGCCAGACACCCTACTCCTAGCCTGCTCCTGCATCCTACTTCCTATCCAGATCCTGCACCCCCATCTCTATTCTACTCACTGGCAGCTCTCTCCCATCCACTGGAGCCCTCATTTTTGGCCCCACACCAGAGCTTGGGAGGGGGCACAAAATCTACTAACCCTGGAACCCCAGAAAAGTTAATCTGGCCTGAGGCCTTGGACCTCAGTCCTCCCTGTCCCTCCCCGCTATGGGGCTGGAGCACCAGGGGAGTGAGGTATCTCAGCTGGGGGCCACATCAGTGAGGGTTGGGGATTTTAGGAGGATTTTTTTTCTTTGCTTCTCACTTGTATGGTTCCTGACTGATTTTTCTGTGGGTCAGTGGCCCCCAACCCAAAAAAGGTTCCCTGCCCCTGCCATAAATAAAGACAATGTTGAAACATTTTGTGTTGGACATAATATTATCCTTTACTTAAAATGAAGTTTGGTAAACTAATATGAGAAAGTAAAAGTGCCCAGCCCCCATCTGGTCACAGCATCCTGTCCCCGGCCCTGACAGGACAGGCCCCACAGTCTGGCCCCCATCTGGCCACAGGAAAGGTTGGCGATGGTAACCCTCCTCCTGCTGCAGCACAGGTCAGAGAGGAGGTCACAGTCCAGCTGACGTGATCCTTGCCTAGCCTCCTGTTCAGCTACTGCTGCCCAGGTGCAGCAGCCTACCTTCAGCCAGGTAAGAAAATCCAGCTCCAGGGTCCCCCAACCCATACTCTACTTTCCATCCCAGTGCCCTGCCCTGAGCCCCTCATATACTCTAACCCTGACTCCTCCATACCCACAGCCACAAACTGCACCCCCAGCAGCAGCAGAAGTCCCTTTAAATAAAGTCTGTAAGTACAGTTGTTTCATTTATGCTGTTACTAATCATTATGTCAATTATCAGTAACATTAAGTTGTATATTTTCAGTCATGCAAATGGGTATTCTTACATACTGGCTTTCTGTTGACCACTTATTCTGGATTTTGATGTAGTTTGGCTTTTTGATTTGAAAAGGTTGCCGACCCCTGATATAGACCATCCCTAAACTGCTCTTAATATTTTCCACTGACGGAGATTACCTAACCTCTCTATGCAATTTATTCCACTGCTAAACTACTCTGGCAGTTGAGAAGTTTTTCCTAATGTCTAACCTAACCTTTCCTTGCAATTTAAACCACTGCTTCTTGTCCTATCCTTACAGATTAACCAGAACAATTTACCTACCTCCTCCTTGTAAAAGCCTTTTAGTTACTTGAAAATTGTTATCGTATCCCATCTGTCTTTTCTAAACTAAAAAAAACCAAACTTTTTTCAATCTTCCCTCATAAGTCATGTTTCTAGACCTTTAATCATTTTTATTAAATATATCGATCATTGTTCTGTACCAGAGCAGTCCGAGTATTACATTAATCTGTAAATATTGAAATAAACTTCTGTCTGAATAGCCAACTCTAGTAGTCACCCTTATCCACTCTACTGATTGAGTTATTCCTCGGTGAATTTTGCTTGGAGACCTGAGGTTGCTGGAAAAGGGCTAAATGACCACCAGTTTATTTTTCCCACACAATTATATTTTAAAGTTGGAGGTGGGCTAAAATCCTTCTAACATACTAGACAAAAGACTATTTCAAACACACAGTATTAGAAAAACTAATACTACAGATAGGTGCCAGTTTTCAGTGCATATAGAGGGATAGTCTGAACTTCTCAAACCTATAAAGAAAAAAAGGGCTGTTGCCCTTTTTGACCAGAGCAGTTATCCAGTATTCAAGTTGTGTTGGTAGTTTCTGTTCAGAGAAGAAACAGATGAGACTCAAGTATTTCTTTAATGCACTCCTGTTTATTTACAAAGAATGTACATGAAGTCCGACTTTCCTGAACACAATAGGAATCAAACAACTGAAGACAATTTTGCCCTTTTTTGTTTTGTTTTAATTTTGTTAATTTCTAAGCCTCTTTCCAGCCAGCACTCTTCCCTAAAGCACTTTTTAGAGCTTTTTCTTATGGCTACACTACAAGTGGAACTCCCTTCCCTGTGTGCTCCTGTGGTGATTTTGGTGCTGCTTCCATATGCACAGCTGCAGCGAAGTCAGTCTGCCACCTGGTGCCTGTTTTCAGTACATCAAAATCCCCTTGGATTGCATGGCCTGAAGCCCAGGCTTATATACATTCTGTTTATTGGGTGATGTTTTCCCTTCAGCTATTACTAAACACAGTAAGCTGGTGTGATTGCCCAACTCCTAGCGTAACAGTATTTTAATTTAGGCCATCTCTATAAAGCATTTTTTAGTGAAAAATTTGTCACTCGGGATGTGTAAAAAGAAAAAAAAACACCTTTGAATGACAAAAGCTTTAATGATGAAAAGCACCAAGTTTGGACAGTGCTTTGTCTCATCAAAAAAACTACTGCCCCTAGTTGGGAATTATTTCATTTTATTGGCAGGAGAGCTCTCTCCTGGCAAGAAAGAGCAGCTATACTGTGCACCTGACAGTGGTGAGACTGCAGCAACACAGCCATTTGATTGTAAGGTGCACAGAATAGACATAGCAAAATGCAGGACAATGTAGCACTTTAAAGACTAACAAGATGGTTTATTAGATGATGAGCTTTCGTGGGCCAGACCCACTTCCTCAGATCAAATAGTGGAAGAAAGTAGTCACAACCATATATACCAAAGGATACAATTAAAAAAAAGAACAAATATGAAAAGGACAAATCACATTGCAGAACAGAAGGAGGATGCGGGGGGGTGGGAAGGGGGAGGAAGGAAGGTAAGTGTCTGTGAATTGCTGATATTAAAGGTAGGGAGAGTGGGATGTTTGTGAGTTAATGGTATTACAGGTGATAATTGGGGAAACTGTCTTGGTAATGGGTGAGAAAGTTCAAAGACTTGTTAAGTCCTCGTTGGTAAGTGTCGAATTTTAACATGAATGACAGTTCAGAGGATTCCCTTTCAAGTGCAGATGTAAAAGGTCTTTGTAGCAGAATGCAGGTGGCTAAGTCATTTAGAGAGTGTCCTTTCTGGTTAAAGTGGCAAGAAACTGTTTTCTCTTTGTGATCTTGTCTAATATCTGTTTTGTGGGCATTAATCCTTTGGCGAAGTGTCTGAGATGTTTGTCCAATGTACATAGCAGACGGACACTTTCGGCACATGATAGCATAGATTATATTTCTGGATGCGCAGGAATATGTGTTCTTGATCTTATAACTCACTTGGTTAGGTCCAATAATGGTATCAGCAGAATGAATATGTGGACAAAGCTGGCAACGGGGTTTGTTGCAAGGGAAGGTACCAGGGTTGGTATTAGTGTGGTATGTCCTGTGGTGGTTGGTAAGAATCATCTTGAGGTTAGGTGGTTGTCTATAGGAGACTATGGGTCTGTCTCCCAGAGCCTCTTTGAGTATGGTATCCTGTTCCAATATAGGCTGTAGTTTATTGATAATGTGTTGGACAGGTTTAAGTTGGGGGTTGTAGGTGATGACAAGTGGTGTTCTATTGTTGGTTTTCTTGGGTCTGTCTTGAAGTAGATGGTTTCTAGGTATTCGTCTGGCTCTTTCAATTTGCTTTTTTGTTTCTCTGGGTGGGTAGTTGAGATTTATAAATGCTTGGTAGAGATCCTGAAGCTTCTGGTCTCTGTCAGTGGGGTTAGAGCAGATGCGGTTGTATCGAAGGGCTTGGCTATAGACGATGGATCGTGTGGTGTGTTCTGGATGGGAGCTGGATGCATGTAGGTAACTGTATGAGTCAGTGGGTTTTCTGTAGAGAGTGGTGTCTAATTTTCCATTGTTGATTTGTACGGTGGTGTCCAGGAAGTGGATCTCTCGTGTAGAATGGTCCAGGCTGAGGTTGATGGTGGGGTGTAGGTTGTTGAAATCTCTGTGGAATATCTCCAGTGTTTCTTGGCCATGTGTCCAGATCATAAAGATGTCATCGATGTACCGTAGGTAGAGGAGGGGTGAAAGGGGACGGGAGTTGAGGAAACGTTGTTCTAGGTCAGCCATAAAGATGTTAGCATACTGTGGGGCCATGCGTGTACCCATGGCTGTGCCGCTGATCTGGAGGTATAAGTTGTTCTCAAACCGGAAATAATTGTGGGTGAGAACAAAGTTACATAGGTCTGCTATCAGGTTGGCAGTAGTGTCCTCTGGGATAGTGTTTCTAATTGCTTGTAATCCGTCTTCATGTGGGATGTTGGTATATAGAGCTTCTACATCCATGGTGGCAAGGATGGTATTATTGGGGAGGTTA